CCAACTCCTGGGCTCAAGCGAGTCTCCTGCCTCAGCCTCTCAAGTAGCTGGGACCACAGGCGCCCGCCACAATGCCCGGCTATTTTTTGGTTGCACCCGTCATTGTTGTTTGGCGGGCCCGGGCTGGATTTGAACCCGCCACCTTGGGTGTACATGGCTGGTGCCTTAGCCACTTGAGCCACAGGCGCTGAGCCCGTCTTTTCTCTTAAGATAAAATTAAGACCAGTACATGGGGTAGGCATACCTAGATGGATTCTTGGCTTAACCACTTAATGGCTGTATGACAACTTTCAAGTTATTCAGTGTCACTAGTGCAAAAGGAAACAGACCTATATTGCAGAATTGCTTTGAGAATTATATGCGGAAATATAATCATAAAGTACCAAGTGGCTCAAAGCAAGACTCAATAAATGGTGGTTATTAGTATTAGAATCAAGAAGCAATACCCTGTCTCATCTTACCTGTAATTTATGATCACTACCCATCACAATAATATAAAATAGTGATAATCACCACAGTAATGACATGGTAATAAGAGCTACCTAGCACTTACTTTGTGACAAGCACTGTGCTAAGTGCTTTTACTGTTATTTAATCCAATTTACAAAGAAGCCTGAGAAAGAGATATAGCCCCATTTTATAGAAGAGAAAACTCAGGCTCAGAGAGATTAAATTCTTTGTTAATCCAAGATTAGAATAGTTAGTAACTGGCACAACCAAGAATTTCCATCTAGTCAAGCTCAAGCTTTTAAGGACTATGCTATGCTGACTGTAAGGTGAGGGCAGGAGCAGTACATCTTTCATTTTTGTATTCTTAGAGCCTAATACAGTTTCTGGAACGTAGTACTCAGTACATGTGCTGAATGGGAGTTATATGTATCTCCTTTCTCTCCATGCAATTTGTTGCCCAGTCTTCTTCCTACACTCCCAGGTGACCTCAATCACTGCTCACAGTACCACCAGGAAGGAAAGGCTTACGCTTGCTTTGGGTGGACACTGCTCCTAAGCTTTCCCTTTGTCTTCTCCATCTCTTCCACCTTAATCTTTCTATTGCTCTGAAATGTGACACATGAATTACATGGCGTGACAAACAAATATAAAAATCCTAGCAAGCTCAAGTTCTATTCTGATACCACTGAAGTAGCTAGCATTGACTTTCTATACTTCCTTCTCAGAGCTGACTATAAAATTATGTTAAAAAAAGCTGCGTATTTCCTGCACGTAGTGTCTGAATCAAGCATTACAAGAAGCGAAGAAAGGCTTATTCCCACACCTGATAAATCTCACCATCACTTCCACTGTGTACAATAAAATGAATATTATAAAGATTGGACTTTACCAGAAACTTTCATTTCTTCTCTTTCATCAGGATTTATCTTTTCTACTGCATGAGAGACAGTGCATTCCAAGACATCTGGAAACTCCTATAATAAACAAGTAATATTTATAGCAAATATAAAATTAACATGTCTAATTATAAAATTTTCTATTGTCCATAATGCCCTTTAGAAGCAGATAACCCATAAGACAACATGGTTCTTTACCTGAGGTCTGGATAGGCTTTCTGAGTATCTATCATACAGAGTAGGACAGTGCCATAAAAATCCCCTATGCTCTATCACCCTGCCCTCCCTCCTCGCTAAGCCCTGGCAACCACTGATCTTTTTACGGTCTCCATGGTTTTGCTTTTTCCAGAATATCAAATAGGTGGACTCATACAGCATGTAGCCTTTTCAGATTGGCTTCTTTAACTTAGTAATATGCATTTAAGGTTCTTCCATGTCTTTTTATGGCTTGATAGCTCATTTCTTTTCAGCACTGAATAGTATTTCATTGTTTTGAGAAACGACAGTTAATCTTTCTACCATTTGATTGCTTCCAAAGTTTAACAATTATGAACAAAGCTGCTATAAATATGTGTGTATAGGCTTTTGTGTGGATGTAAGTTTTTAAGCTCCTTTGGGCAGATACCAGGAAGTATGATCACTGGATCATATGATAATAGTATGGTTTCATAATCATAAGCATTTTAAGCCAAAACATTTTTTTAAAGTCCCTCTTATGATTGTGTCCTGCCCCCAAGAGGTGTATCAAATACCTTAACCCCCAATCCCTTTTACTCTCCTCTCCCCACTTGCTTGTTCCCCCAACCCTCCTTGTTTAGCTCATCTGCTGCCTTCATATTAGAACAGAGTACATTGGATTCTTGCTTCTCCATTCTTGTGATGCTTTACTAAGAAGAATGTGTTCCACCTCCATCCAGGTTAATACAAAAGATGTAAAGTCTCCATCTTTTTTAGTGGCTGAATAGTATTCCATGGTATACATA